CATGGAGAAAGAGTTTGTCAGCCGCTCTGAGACTCTTTCGGGTAGTGAAGGGTGGGGTATAAATCCAATCTCTTCTTCTTCGTCGTCTTCTCTTTACCCTGAGTTGCTGTATCACACTAACTGCTTCCTTCAGGTCAGAGGTCACCACCGTGGTGCTCGTGGGAACCATGGTGCCCGCCGATACCTTTACTGGCGCCCGCCATATTGTTCTTAGGAAGTGGGTGGGGCTTTTGCCCAGCGGGGCTCCTGATAGGCAACCGGAGATTTGATGGGCGGTGCAGTTTTTTTTTTTAAGTGTCACTTTGGCAGCAGCTGCCCGACAAGGCCCTGCACTGTGTGACTGAAGTTAAGCCGTGGCAGCCATTTTGTGGCTGGGCCCGCCTCCCGCGGCAGCCATTTTGTGGCTGCCCTCACAGTGCCGTGTCAAAATCCTAAAGGTGCCCACAGGCTCAAAAAGGTTGGAAACTGCCCCGCTCTGGGGGGCCAGAAAGGTTGGGGGCCCCCCCCCCCCCGCTGTAGGTAGAGTATCGGCTGGGAATCATTCCGAGAGTTGTGTGAACCTTTGGGGGCAAAGACTTCACTGGGATCTCTCTGCCTCATGCGGTGACCTCATAAATGAGCGCTCGGAAGAGGAGACGGGGGCGAGCGTGTGCCCGAGGGGCGGTACTCACGGTTTCTCTCTTTCTGTGCCTCCCCCGCAGGCTGTACCTCGGAAATCCCATGGACCCTCCAGACATCCTAGGTGTGGACTTGAACGCGGCCAGGCCCACGCAGCTCCCAGGAAGGTCAAAAAGTAAGACGTTCCCCTTCCCCCCCTTCGCCACCCGCTCTCCTCACCCAACCCGAACTGTCTTGTGCCCGAGGTAAACCACGCGAATGGACTACAAGTCCCAGCATGCATTTCTTTGCCACTCTCCGGACTGTTCTCGTGTTGGGCGCGAAGAGTTTCCGTTTGCTGCTGTGCCGCCGCACCAGCAGCACAGAAGAAAGCCGTGGCCCGCGTGGACATTATTCTCCAGCCTGCGATGCTTTTAGGCTGTTGAAGGGCTTGCTTCGCTTGGAGAGCGTCGGTCTTCATCCAGGGCCTTTTTGCTGGCTTGGGGGCAGTCGCTTGGGTTTCCGGTTTCCCATTCTCCCTGCCGGATAGGCGGCTTTGGTTTCCCTCCCCCGTTCTGCAAGCCTTGAGAAACCAGTCTCAGGAGGATAGCGGCACCAGTCCCAAAACGCATTTATTTATTTATATCTGGCCCTCCTCCCCAGTGGTGGTCTCCTCGGTTGTTATCCTCACAACAACCCTGGGAGGTAGGTTGGGCTGAGGGTGTGACCGGCTCATGGTCCCCCAGCGAGCTTCCGTGGCAAAGGGGGGATTCGCACCTGGGCCTCCTGCATCCTAGCGCAGCAGTCTAACCCCTACATGACACCAACCAGTGTTTCCTCTAAGCTGAGTGAGTGTGAGCTAGCTCACAGTCTTTTTAGCCTCCAGCTCACGCATTTTCGCCTTAGCTCAGGAAGGATGGCTCCAGAGTAGACTAATTTCTGCAGTAGCTGACTCATTCGCCCTCGCCCCCCAACTTCCCCCGTATCTTCTTGATCCTTATTTTTTAGGATCAAGAAGACATGGGGGAAATCGGGGGGAGATGCCGCTCCAATTGCGGCTGTGCAGCAAATAGTGGGAGAATTGAGCAGTACAGCCGGGGGAAACGGGAGACCGAGGGTGGAACAACTGCTTTTACATAAGAACATAAGAGACGCCAATGTTGGATCAGGCCAAAGGCCCATCCAGTCCAACACTCTGTGTCACACAGTGGCCAGAAATACCAGTGCCATTAGGAGGTCCAGCAGTGGGGCCAGGACATTAGAAGCCCTCCCACTGTTGACCCCCCCCCAAGCACCAAGAAGACAGAGCATCCCTTGCCCCAGAGCCCCTAGCTATACCTTGTGGCTAATAGCCACTGATGGACCTCTGCTCCATATGCTTATCTAATTCCCTTTTGAAGCCGTCCATGCTTGTAGCACCCACCACTTCCCACCACAAAAGGGTGCTTTTGTGGAATCGGTCTAAGCTTCCTAGGTAGCCAGCGAGATCTGCCCATGGGTGATCAGGGCGGGGAACGTCTGTGTTGAGGCGCATTAGTTTCCTCTGTTCCGAGCGCAGAAGACACAAAAGGGTGATGCATCGCAGCCGTTTTCCTTGCCGATTTGTACTCTCGTGCGTGGCTTCTGTAGTTTGTGCGTGGCCCTGTCTTGTGTTCCTCAGGTCTTGGCCATTAGCAGGAGATCTGTATACATCGGCCCATGGCTCGCAGCGTTGGTTGGTTGAGCCAAATGACTGCTCCTGACACCAACAGCGTACACACACCCCTGACAGTTTCGTGGAAGTAGTTAACCTCACTGTGTGTGTTCGGCATGTGGGTCTTGATCGGGAGTGTGGATGCTTACATCTCTGCAGTTGGTAGCCTTAGAAGGGAGGTGTCAAACATGTGGCCCGGGGGCCAGATCAGGCCCGCAGTGGAACTGGCCATCTCCTGCTTCCAGTTCTGCTGCAGCTGCATCACCGCTTGCTTCACCAGACTCCCTCAATCGCTCAGCCATTTCATGTTTTTCCCTGGGTCCTAGGACTCAGAACTCTGAGCATGAGATTTCTGTGCTGAACGTCAATAAATCAAAAGTAGGTTTGCAGCTTACAAGGTTAATGTCAAAGTCAAATACCTTTAATGGCATAGCAGTAAGATACGTAGATGTACAATAACACGGCATGGATATATAAGACATTATAAGCAATATGAATCAGTCCTTTACTAGAATAGATCTATCTTTGGCTACTTAGGCAAGAAACCTGGCCACTATAGCTGTAATATTAGGATTAGCATCCTTTAGTAGATTTTGAATAACTTTTTCCCTATTAGAACTATAATTAGGAGGAAATAAAGATGACAACAACACTTTGCGTAAGACTGAGTGAAATTGACAGTCATGAATAATATGATATATTGAGTCCACAGATTTTAAAGGACAAGAACATAACCTTTCATGAAAGGGAATTTTCTTAAACCAACCTGAAAGCTCTTTTGAAGGGAACACATTTAGTCGGGCTAGTGTAAAGGCTCTACGGTGCGAAGGCTGGACTAAGTAGTGGGCCATCTGGCCATATTGAATTGGGAGATTCAACCGAGCCTGTGAAAATATGCTAAATTGTGTAGGACGTAAGACTTGAAGTTCCAGGTCAAGCAGTCTCCGTTTAATAATCTGGAAAATAGAGACTTCATCCAGTGAGTAGAAATACTCTAAGGAAAAGCCAATTTGACTAATCTTCTTCTCAATATATGCCAGCCAGGATGCGTACAGAGCTAATGTTTCAAACATGTTTTTATCTTAAGTTTAAAAAAACCCAACAAATCTTTGTGTTTGTGTCCTTTATAATGTTTCTGTCTCTGCTACCTTGGCATTACATTTTGTGACACACGTAGCCCGGCCCGACAAGGTCTCATTTACGTCAGATCCAGCCCTCGTAACAAAATGAGTTCGACACCCCTGCCGTAGAACTTTGGGGGCAGGAGGTGTCTTCCTTCCGAAAAGGAACGCTTTTAAGGGGCCCAGAAGGTTGGATCTTTTGCACTGAGCCCTCGGCTTGCGCCTCAGACGCAGATGCTTGAAAACGCACCCGACGTGTCTCGAATGTCATTTCCTTGCCTCTGCCGCCTTGTCGCCAGTCTCTGTCCTGTGCGCATTGCTTGCTAACGCCGTGCTCTCTCTCTCTCTCTTCCTGTGGGGTCTCTGTTTCTCTCCTTTTCCTGCAGGGGAGCCACCACCCCGTCCGCCTCAGCCCTCGATCCTCCTCAAGAGTAAGTGGGGCCGCTTTCCGGGCCGTCTTGCCCCCTGCGCCTGTCCTCTCTGCTCTCTCTTAGCTCCTCTCTTGACAGGTACCTGGGGGTGTGCTGTGGATTGGCCCTCCCTGCCTGCCCCCCCCCCATTTTGCCCAGCCCGGCTCACAACGACTCTGCGAATTGCATGACTGTCTCAGAGAGGCACCTGACCGACTGCCAGTCAGCAGACAGAAATCCGTGCAGGCGTCCAAGGACAGAAAGCTGCGGACAGACTCCCTAATCAGCTTGTTTCTGTCGCCGAGCGGTTTTGAGATGGGTTTATGTTCTCCTAACTTTGCAGGTTCCCTATAACCTACTGGGTTGTTTTTTTAAAAAACAGCGTTTGCATCCTAATTTTGCCACACAGTGAGGCCTGTTAAAAGGGCTGCGGTGGCTCAGGGGGTTAAGACGCTGAACTGCAGGCTGTGGAAGGTCAGTAGTTCAGCAGTTCGAGACCCGGGTGCCGCGTAGTGGAGTGAGCTCCCGTCTCTAGTTCCAGCTCCTGCCAACCTAGCAGTTCGAAAGCAAGAAATTGCAAGTAGATAAATAGGTACCCCTTCGGTGGGAAGGTAACAGCGTTCCGTGCACCTTGGTGTTTAGTCATGCCGGCCACATGATCACGGAAACGTCTTCGGACAGCGCTGGCTCTTCGGCTTTGAAATGGAGATGAGCACCGCAACCCTAGAGTCGGATTCGACTGGCTTTTGAGCAGGGGAAACCTTTACCTTTAAGGCCTGTTAAAAGGGCTGCAGTGGCTCAGGTGGTTAAGACGCTGAACTGCAGGCTGTGGAAGGTCGGCCATTCGGCAGTTCGAAACCCGAGTGCCGCGTGGCGGAGTGAGCTCCTGTCTCTGGCCCCGGCTCCTGCCAACCTAGCAGTTCGAAAGCAAGAAATTGCAAGTAGATCAACAGGTACCAGTTCAGTGGGAAGGGAACAGCGTTCCGTGCGCCTCGGCGTCTAGTCATGCCGGCCACATGACCACGGAGAAGTCTTTGGACAGCGCTGGCGCTTCGGCTTGGAAACGGAGATGAGCACCGCCCCCCTAGAGTCGTATTCGACTGGCTTTCAAGCAAGGGAAACCTTGACCGTTACTTAAGACCTGTAAAAGAAAAGCCCACAGTTTATAACTCGCCTGCCCTAAATGCAGTTAAGCATGTCTAGCATGTTAACGATGCATGAATAATGCGGGAGGTGGGAGCGCCGTGGGTGACAGCAATCAATCCCATATTTTTGCTGGATCTCTTCTACCCCCTAGTGGAGAAATCCTCAACCTTCCTTTGCAAGACTTGAGACTGGAAGTACTACGTAGCACCTTAAGAGACCAACAAGGTTTTCAGGGGATCAGGTTTCCAGAGTCAAAGCTCCTTTGTCAGATAGTCCATGTCTCGAGAGTTCATACCAACCAAATCTTGCTGGTTTCTATGGTGCTGCCGGGCTCAAATCTAGAAGATAAAGAGGAGATTGGATTTCTACCCCGCCCTTCACTACCCGAAGGAGTCTCAGAGAAGCTTACAATCTCTTTTCCCTTCCTCTCCCCACAGCAGACACCCTGTGAGGCAGGGGGGGCTGAAAGAGCTCTGTTGAGGACTGCTCTAGAGAGAACAGCTCTGGGAGAACCTGTGGCTGACCCAAAGTCACACCAGCAGCTGCATGTGGAAGAGGAGTGGGGAATCAAACCCAGTTCTCCTAGATTAGAGCCCGTGCTCCTTACCGCTACACCAGACTGGCTCAGATATAAAATATGAATGTTAAAATACTTGGCTATCACCACGCCACCGTTAGAACACGTGGTTACCCTCCAAAGGCCAACCTTGTTAGAACACGTGGTTAACCCTCCAAAGGCCAACCTCAACAATCCAGTCTCGCTTGTTCTGCGGAAACCAAATGAGTCTGGCATTCCACAGGGTAGGGGGCCACAATCGAGAAGGCCCTTTCCCTGGTGACAGCTAACGGAGCCATCTTGGGGGCCAGGCACCTGCAAGAGGCCCCCCGATGATGACCGGAGAGGGAGTGCAGGGGGTTGTAAGGAGAGAGGCGGTCCCATAGGTGTGAAGGTCTCCCATCTGAGTACTGACACTGCTTAGCTTCTGAGATCTGATGAGATCAGGCTATACGGTACCACCTTCTCTCCCCAGCGAGACATTACCAGGAGGGGAAAGTCAGATCTGTGCCTTTGTGGCAATGACTCATTGGTCCTTCATCCTCCAGGTTCAGAGCCCTGGATCTTCTGTTGGGGGAAGGAAGAAGGCGACCGTTATCTTAGCTGGTGGGTTACACACCTGCTTAGCGTGCAGGAAGTCGTGGGCTGAATCCCCCACACCTGTTCCCTGAAACCCTGGAGAGCCACAGCCAATCATTAAAAAAAAAAGATACTGAGTTAAATATAAGAACATAAGAGACGCCAATGTTGGATCAGGCCAATGGCCCATCCAGTCCAACACTCTGTGTCACACAGTGGCCAAAAATACCAGGTGCCCTCAGGAGGTCCAGCAGTAGGGCCAGGACACTAGAAGCCCTCCCACTGTTGCCCCCCCAAGCACCAAGAAGACAGAGCATCACTTGCCCCAGAGTCCCTATCTATCCCTTGTGGCTAAGAGCCACTGATGGACCTCTGCTCCATATGCTTATCCATAAGAACATAAGAGAAGCCAATGTTGGATCAGGCCAAAGGCCCATCCAGTCCAACACTCTGTGTCACACAGTGGCCAGAAATACCAGGTGCCATCAGGAGGTCCACCAGTGGGGCCAGGACATTGGAAGCCCTCCCACTGTTGACCCCCCCCCCAAGCACCAAGAAGACAGAGCATCCCTTGCCCCAGAGCCCCTATCTATACCTTGTGGCTAATTTGATTTGATTGATTTGATTTATTAGATTTCTACCCCACCCTCCCGGCCGAGGTCAGCTCAGAGTGGCTTACATAAAGGCAGCATAAAACGTACAATACACATAAAATAGGTTAACAGTAACAAACAGTTAAGCCATTCTAAAACCATTTAAGCCATAAAACATCATAAAGTGCTAGTGTCAGTCATTTCACAGCGGTTATTGTTGAGAAAGCCGGTTTGGTGCGGTGGTTCAGTGCGTGGGCTCTAATCTGGGAGAACCGGGTTCGATTCCCCACTCCTCCACTTGCACCTGCTGGATGACCTCGGGCAAGCCATAGTGCTGTCAGAGCTGTTCTCTCAAGGGCAGGTCTAAAAGGAGCTCCCTCAGCCCCACCTCCCTCACGGGGTGTCTGTTGTGGGGAGGGGAAGGGAAAGGAGTTTGTAAGCCACTCTGAAACTCCAAGTGAAGGACAGGGTAGAAATCCAATCTCCTCTTCAATTCTCTCTCGCTTCGCAGTCGGCTCTTTGGTCTCTTAGATCATCTCAGGTGGCTAGCTCAGGCTGTATCTAGAAATCCCAGGGGGACGGGCCTCTCCCACCTTGAGCTGTCCGTTGTCAGATCCAAAAAAGGGGGGGGGGAAGACTAGCGTCACAGGAGTCCCAAATATACACATTCCACTAGTAGAAAAACGCCATCAAAGATTGCCAAACAATATATTAAACAATTATAAGGTTGGTGGTGTCACAACAACAACATTAGTGCATACTGTAACTATAATGAGGCATAAGATACAATATTTCCTCCTTTGTAGATAGGACATAAAGTCCATATAATCAGTGTAACTTGTTAGGAGGAGTCCAGATCAATGTTCCCTCTAAGCTGTAGAGTCTTGTGAGCAAAAATTCTACTTTGTGAGCTACTGGCATTAAAGCTGTGAGCGAGCGATTTGGCTACTGCATAACTTAGTTTGCTCTGGAGCCCTCCTTCCTGAGTGAAGACAAAAATGTGTGAGCCGCAGGCTAAAAAACTGTGAGCTAGCTCACACTAACTCAGTTTAGAGGGAACACTACTCCAGATAGTCATAATATTGTCCAAACAGCCTTTGCAAAAACGCCCATTCCAGATACTTAGAAGATGCGTTTCCTTCGACTTCTTCAGTTTGCCGGCTGTAAGCGGAACGTGGTCTCAGCAGTTCCAAGAGACCACGAGGTTCATAGTGTAAGAAGCGAATCATAGGCTCTCCTGTATGTCGTGCTTTGTGGAGGGAGGGAGAGCGTCTTCCAGTCCCTTACTCGAGTCCCTTTGTCTTTCAGAGCCCTCGTACGACCCCGTCAGCGAGGAGGACGACCCCCTTTCCTCCAGCCTCAAGCGCCTTTGCCTGAAGAAGCCGGGCCTGCGTCTCGCGAAGCCCTCCGCCCGCGTCTCGGGCACCAAGGTGACCGAGAGGCTGCTGCTGCTGCCGCGGCCCAAGGGGAGCGGCGCGACGGGTAACGAGGTGACGCTGATCGACTTTGGAGAGGAGCCCGTCCCCACCACCCCCTCGCCCATTGGGGAGCTCTGTGCCCCGTCGCTGGCCAAGCTGGCCATGGAGGCTTTCTCCTTGCTGGACAAGACCCCCCCCCAGAGCCCCACGCGGGCCCTGCCCCGGCCCCTCCACCCGACCCCCATCGTGGACTGGGACGCCCGGCCCCTCCCGCCGCCCCCCGCGTACGACGACGTGGCCCAGGACGAGGACGACTTTGAGGTCTGCTCCATCAACAGCGCCGAAGGACTCGTGGGGCCGCCGAGCAGCCGCCCAGCCTGGGAGGAGAAGGGGGAGACCAACGGCGGTTTCCTCCCCGAGGGCGACCGCCCCGCTCTCCCTCCGGAGGACAACCTCTTCCTGCCGCCCAAGGAGGCCAAACAGCCCAGTCCCGCCCAAACCACCGAGCTCTTCCAGGAATTGCAACAGGAGTGCATGAAACGGCTCAACGTGCCCCTGGGGGCAGCCTCGGCGGCCTCGACGCCCAGCCCGGGGGAGGACAAGCCCCAGGTCCCCCCACGCGTGCCCATTCTGCCCCGGCCTCTCCGTCGGAACGAGCACGGTCGCTGGTCCGGGGAATTGTCACCGGCTTCCGGGGGAGAGGAGGGCCGCCCGCCCCAGATCCCCCCTCGCGATCCCCTGTCCCAGCCCGGCTCCCGGACGCCCAGCCCCATGTCCCTCCCAGGCGGGTCCCCCCAAACGAGAGCCGGTCTGTGTTCTCCGCTCTCCCTGGGCTCGTATCTGTCCACGTCTCCAGGAAAGCAGCCCATGCCCACCACCCAGAGCTTCGCCCTGGACCCAAAGTACGCCACCCCCAAGGTCATCCAAGCGCAAGGCAAGGAGAGCGCCAAGGGACCCTGCATCCTGCCCATCGTGAAGGACGGCCGGAAGGTCAGCAGCACCCACTACTACCTGCTCCCGGAGCACCCGCCTTACCTGGACAAGTACGAGAAGTTCTTCAAGGAGGCCAGGACCCCCGAGGAGAACCCACCGCCAGCCCGGGTGGTCACCACGGCGACCGTGCGGCCAATGGTCCAGCAACAACCCGACTACAAGGCCAACTTCTCTTCCAACAACAGCAACGTCATCGTCAGGGCTTCCTGCGGCCTCCAGAAGATCATCTACGATGGTTCCGGTTCGGACAGCTTGAGACCCTCTGAGAAGATACGGCTGGTGAGCAGCAGGTGCTCCTTTGGTTGGGGAGGGGCAAGGGCAGAGGTGTTCCCTCTAAGCTGAGTGAGTGTGAGCTAGATCACCACAACAGCAACGTCATCGTCAGGGCTTCCTGCGGCCTCCAGAAGATCATCTACGATGGTTCCGGTTCGGACAGCTTGAGACCCTCTGAGAAGATACGGCTGGTGAGCAGCAGGTGCTCCTTTGGTTGGGGAGGGGCAAGGGCAGAGGTGTTCCCTCTAAGCTGAGTGAGTGTGAGCTAGATCACCGTTTCTTAGCCTCCGGCTCGCGCATTTTTTTATCAACTCAGGAAGGAGAGCTCCAGGGCAGACGAATCCATGCAGCAGCCGAATC